GCGGGGCGGGGAGGTGGGGGTGGGGGCAGGCGGGTCCAGGAGGCCCAGCCCCGCGTGCGGGCACCTACGCCTCTCGGACCGCAGGCTGCACCCGGAGACTCGAGCCCCCCTCACCCCAGCCAGCATCGCGCTGAGTAACCCGCAGCAGCGGTGTCGCCCTGGGCGCGGAGACCCCCGGCGGCGCCCACCAGCGGGGGGAGTCAGCCCTGTGCGGGGCCGGGGCGGTGACAGACACAAACCGCCACCCAGTTGAACGGCGGCCGGCCGGACGCCCACGCGCCCACACGCGGAGACCCGTGCGTGGCCCTGTGCACACGTGGGTCCCCTCCGCCCCACTGCTCGTCGGCAGCCGGCGTCTGGCGTTCGACACAAATGGTGAGACGCGGAAAAACCGAGGAAAATCACGCGCTGTCGACAATAAGGCGAGAGAAGGAACTGGATTCAGAGACGCCAGGTTGTCGCAGCTGCCGACAGGACGTTCAAGTAACTCCAAGTAATCGGCTCAGGGGCCAGTGGGTCAGGCGGACGGCGTGAATGAAAAGATAAGGAATCCTGACAGCAATGGAAGCTACGAGAAAGGCTGGAGTGGAAACAACAGAAATGGCAAACATGGCGTGGGAGGTGAAGAGGCCCTTCGCCTGGCCCAGCCGGAGAGCTAACAGCCAGGGGAAGATCGTGAACCTGAAGATGGGTGGGTAGAAGTGACCCAAATGCAGCATGAAAAGAAGACACCCCAAATGTCAGGCCGTGTCCGCAGAGCCTCGCACGCGTGCGGGTGGGGCCCAGAGCTCACCGGGAGAAGCAACACAGAAAGGAACTAAATGACAGAATTGTTCAGAATTCATGAGGCGCAACAAGCCCCAGATTCAAGGAGCCCCTGGATCCTCGAACAGGAAAAAAGTTAAATGCATCACAGGCAGCCGATGACGACCAAAACTAAAAAAAAAAAATCTTAAAGGGAATCAAGGAGGAGGAGGGGGCAGGCGACATTCAGAGGAACGAAGATAAAATGAGGCGAGCGAGAAGAAAACAGAATGACATCTTCAAAGTGCTGGGAAAACAAGACAAAACTCCTGTCAGTCAAACCGGAATTCTGTGCTCAGCAAAAAATCCATTTCAACCACGAAGGACTTGACCACCACTTCACACCCACCGAGCGGCTACTATCGATGTTTAAAAATAAAATGTTCAAAAAATCCCAGAAAATAACAAGTGAGGATGTGGGTAAATTGGAACCCTTGCGCACTGTTGGTGGGAATGTAGATGGTGCGGCTGCTTCCGAAAACGGTCTGGCGGTTTAACACGGAGTCACGGTGTCACCCAGCAACCCCACTTCTAGGCATACACCCGAGAGAAACGGAAAAACGCATCCGCACACAGCTCACAGCTGCATCGCAACAGGCACAACGTGGAAATAACCCAGTGCCCCTTGGCCGATACATGGGTCAGTAACATGTGACACAGCATGCCGTGGGATATCGCGTGTCGATGAAAAGGACCAAAGCGGTGGTCCAGGCCACACCGCGGAGGAACCCGGAAAGCATACTGGGTGCGAGGGGCAGTCGCGAGCGAGTCTGCGGCATGACTGCACTTACACGAAATGTCCACAAGAGGCGCTGATGCGGAGAAAGAAAGTAGAATTGGGGTTGCGTGGGCTGGGGACAAAGCAGAGTGAGAAGTGACAGCCGAAGGTGCGGGCTTTCTTCCGCGGACGACGGGAAACATTCTAAATTTGCAGTGATAGATGCGCAGCTCCGTGAATTTACAAAAGCCCCGTGAATTCGCACTTTAAGTGGGTGAGTTACATGTTATTAAAGCTGTTACCCCATGAAAAGGAGAAATAAGGACTTTTCAGATGAACGAAAGTTTGATTTGCACTACAAAAAAAAGTGTTAAAAGAACTTCAGGCAGAAGAGATGTTATCAAATGGGAAATTCAACCTACGCAAACAAATGAAGAATGCTGAAAATGGTAAAAATAAAAGTATATACCAAGGGCTCTTTTTATTTTTAATCCCTACAGATCATTGACATCAAAACTAAGAACAATGCATTGTAGGGTTTGCAACATATATAGAAGTAAAGCATCTGAACGGTAGCAAAAATATGGGCAGAAGACAAGGAAAGTCATTCACCATGTGTGAGTTGGCATCATATCAGGAGGGCCTGCGATAAGCTGAAGATGGTATTGAAAACCCTAAAGCGAGCACCAGAAGTTCAATCAAAAGAGAAATGTAACAAATAAACCAACAGTGGAGGTAAAATGAGATCTTAAAAAATTCTCAGTCCCTAAGAAGACACGAACAGAGGACAAAAGAGATCACGCAAGTAGAAAAGGGCAGAACATTAGATGTAAAACCTACCATCTTATTAAATATTAAATGTAAACGGGGTAAACAACACGATTAAAAGGGAAACATTTCCAGATTAGTTTTTTTTTTTTTTTTTAAAGCAAGCACCAACTTTATGGAATGTGCGAGAAGCTGACCTTAAACATAAAAGGACCAATCAGGATGGAAAAGTTATATGCGGGAAGTTTCGATCAGAGAAGGCTGAAGTGATTATATTAGTGTTAAACTATGTAGATTCCAGAGCAGGGATCATTACGAGGGATTAAGATACAAGGTAATGATAAAAGTCAGCAAATCAAGAAGACGGAGCAATCATAAATTTACATGCACCGAACAGCAAAGCTTCAAAAATACGTAAAACAAAAACTGATAGAGATGGAAGTAGAAATAGGAATAGTCACAGTTATAACTGGATGTTTCAATACTGATCTCTAAGAGATGAAATAAGTGCTCAAAAAATTAGGCCAGGATAGCGAAGATTTCAACAATACTGTCTCAATTGGCACTTATAGGACGTGCCACACAACAACAGCAGAATATGCAGTATTTTCAAGTGCACATAAAGTATTCATCAAGACAGGCTTTAAACTGTGCAGTAATAACAAATCTCAACACGATTAAAATAACTGAAATGATCTGAAGTACATTCTCTGGTCAAAAAGAAATTGAACTAGAAATATGTGATAGATATCAAGAAAAAAATTCAACATTTGGAAAATTTAAAAACACACTTCTATATAACAGACAGGTAAAAGAAGAAATTATAAGGAAATTAGAAAAATGTTTTGAACTTAATGAAAATAAAAGCACAAAGTATCAAAATTTGCGGGACACAACTAACGTGGTATACAGAGAAAAACATGACGATAAATGCTTATACTAGAAAATAAAAAAGGTCTCTAATTGTAATCTAATCCTGATCTAAGCTTCCATTTTAAGAACATAGAAAAAAGAAAAATGAAGTAAATGCAAAGCAAGCAGAATATAAATAATAAAGATGTGAGTAGAAATTAATACATTCGAAAATTATAGGGGAAATTAATAAAACTAAAAGCTTTTTTAAAAAAACTATCAATAATATTGATAAACCTCTGGAAAGACTGATCAGGGGAAAAAAAGACAAGTCACCAATATCAGCAACCAAATAGGGGACTCACCCACACAGCACAGCGAAGCCACAGGGACCGCGGATGAGATGGACAAGTTCCTCGAGAGACGGAACGAAGCTTACTCACACCTCGAGTAGCCTTTCATCCATTAAAGAAATTGAATGCGTGCCAAAAACTTTCCAACAAAGAAAATCCTGGGCACAGACGTCTGCACTGCAAATTCTACCAAGTGTTTCAGGAAGGATTAAGGAGTCTACAGACTCTCCCAGAAAGGCAGAAGAGACGCAAACACTTCTCAACTCATTTTCTGAGGCCAGAACTAGTCTGATATAGAAACTAGAGAGCGATACTACAAGAAAAGAATGTTCCTCATTAAGATGGATGCAAAACCCTTAACAAAATTAGCCGCTCAAATTCAGCAATATTCAAAAAAGGATAATGCACTGTGACAAAATGGGGCATATATAACGAATGCAAAATGGGTTTAATGTTCTTAAAAATGAGTCCATTTTATTCGCCATATTACTATATTGAAATAATAAAACACATAATCGTCTTGAAAGCTGCAGAAAAGTTTTTGACAAAATTTAAAATCTATTCATGATAAAAACTTTCAGCGAACTGGAGATAAGAGGAAGCTTCGACCTGATAAAGGGCATCTATAAAAACCCAAACAAACAGAAAAACAAAACGAAACAAAAAACCCTATAGCCAACATGGCACTTAACAGTGAAAGACGTGCAGCTTTTCCCCCAGGGCAGGGGACGCTCACAGCACCTTCCCACACCACTTCTGCCCGGCACCCAACAAGAGACCGAAAGGCACAGCGACGTAGAGGAGCCCGCTGTCCTCGTTCACACGCGCCGGCCGTTTGCGTAGAAAATCCCGAGGAAGCCACGCAGAACCCACAAGCGAGCTTAGGAAGTCGCCTCGTTCTAGACTAGAAAGGTCGCCCGCATCTGTCAGCTACATCGCTACAGTCGCTCCTCCCCCTTTTCCACGATTTTGCTTTCTGAAGTTGCAGTGACCTGTGGTCAATGTAGTCTGGAAACTCTAAATGGAAAAGTCCAGAAATAAACAACTTATAAGTTTTAAGTCGTATGCCGCTCTGCCACCCGCCCATCCCGCCGGGGCGCGGCTCCTCCCTGCGCCCAGGGAACCCGCACTGTCACGCTCCCCGCCCGTCCCTCAAGCACAGCCGTCCTGGGTACCGGGTCCACAGCGCCCGCGTCCACGTCACGCAGCTTTACTGCCTAATATCGAGCGCCCCCTTGTTTGGGGGGCGGCACCGTGCTGAAGCCCTCGCCGAGGCGCAATGCCCTCCCGTGCCCTCCGCCCACACGCTGAAAGCCTGTTTTCAGCTGAGCCACACAGGGGGGCCGGGACTTTTGCACTTCAAGGTGTGACAGCAAAACTAGCATGAATTTTTTCCTCTTTCACAATTTCAGAAACAGAAGGTTTGTTCTCATCACAGACCTTCGCAACCTCGGCATGTTTCCCCCTCTCTTTATTAAGTCCAGAACATTCATCTCTTCCCTTAAAGGAAGTCCTCGACGGGTTCTCCGTGGCGTATCCGAATTGCCAGCCGCACTATTCTCGCCCTTTGGGGCCATTATTAAGTAAAATAAAAGCGAATCCAACCAAACCGCTTCTAGGCTTTTTTTTT